GGAAGGAAGGAAGGAAGGAAGGAAGGAAGGAAGGAAGGAACGACGGAAGGAAGGGAAGGACGAAAGAAAAGAAAAAAAGAAAAAGTCACAGAAAAAGCCATGGAGTCCATTTGCATTGGCCAACAGCTCTTGGGCATGGGCCTGCTCTGGAGGGCGGTTGCTATACACGTATACGTAGTGATACTCCATTTGAGAAAACTAATTTTCCTTCCCCCAGCAGGGATCAATTGCAAACAGCTTCTTGGCTAAGTGTTGGGTTTTAGTCGACTTCCCCTTCTTGGTGCTGGAATTTTTGTCTAGTTTAAATCTGTGATGGTCCTGTGCGTGTTTTCAGTCTGTGAGTTCATGTGTGTGTATCTGTCATGTTGTGTCTAGAAGAGGCTGGCTCCTTGCTGTCAATCACCACTTCTGGCTCTTACAGTCTTTCTGCCTTCTCTTCCATATGGATCTTTGAGCCTTGAGGAGAGGGTTTAATAAGACAAACAAACAAACAAAAACCCATCTCATTTAGGGCCATGTGCTCCCAAGCATCTCACTCTCTGGACATTGTCCAGTCAGGTCTCTGTGTGAACTGCCATCTCTGAGAGCAGAATGATGCCCCAACCCGATTCCCAGTCTAGAGTCGGGGCAATATGGAAAACCTTAATTACATGATAGTTCCTTCCAAAAATATGTTATATTCATGGCCCTGGTATTTTATTGATTCATTATACATGATACTGTTACAGAAGGGCATACTCATGCGAGTATGACGTGTATTTTGAGTTTGTTCCCTGACATGTGCCCACCTCACCCCGTCATTTGGTTCCTTTCTCCTAGACACTTTCGCTGTTGCTTTCAAGCCATGTGATATTTGTCCTGATACCAATTTAATTCATGTAATATGATTATTATCAGTCATATCCATTTACCAGCAAATGAATAGCTTTATTCTTCTTGCCTAGAGGTAAGCCCACACAGCTATGGACATCTACCTTTTAAAATGTACTATTTTGTTTCTTTGATACTATAATTGTACAATACCTCTTCTTTTTCTTTCCTCCAAATGCTCCACTTTTCTCTCTTTTAATTAACGGTCTCATTCTCATTAATTGACGTTATATACATATATGTATATACATATATATTCTGAAATATATAAATATAATCTGTTCTGTCTGTACAATGTTAGTTGTGTGTATATTTTCCAAGCTGACCATTTGATATTTGGGGAAACAAACCGGTGTGCTCTTCCCTGGGTAAACTTGTTTATCCTGCTCTCAGCATCCCTTAGTGACCTGTCGTTCTTTATGTAGGGATGAGGTCTCCTGGGTTTTCCCCATCCACTTTGTCGTATCTCTTTTTGTCTTGTTTAGCTTGTGTTGAGGCAGTCATGATGGTGAGACTTTAAGGGTGTAGCTTCCGACATTCCTAGAAGACACAATCGCACAGCAAACTCCCTGATCTTACAGGCTCTTACACTCATTCTGCTCCTTCTTCCACAGTGTTCCCTGAACCCTGGGTGTGGGAGTTAGAGTGTAAGTCTATCTCTTGGGACTCGGCTCCACTCTGTTTTGATTGGTCGTGGTTTCTTGTACTGGTCTCCATCTGTTACAAAGAGGAGTTTCCTGGAGGAGGATGAGGGATACACTCATTTGCGGGTATAAGGACAAACACTTAGAACATAGTTACAGATTATGCTGGTTTAGTTAAGCATCAACTGTAGATCTCCAAGAACCCTGACCTCGTTGGCCCTGAGTAACTACTAGGTTTCCAGTACCGACATGATTACATGATTTCCCTCCTGCTGAGTGGGTCTTGTGCTCAGAGAGCTGTTGGTTACCACTGAGCTATGTGTGCCACAGCGGCACCCTTAGGGTCGTCAGGCTGCACTGATCATTTTTGGCATTCAAAGGTGTCATAGCTGGGAAGGACTGCTGGTTGCTTCTCTCGTTTGGAAGCTTGCATGGCTCCTTCGGGTACCACAAAAGTTAGTTCTCAGGGAGGAGACTTTCTGGTCAGTTGCAGCTCAGGAACCTGAGCCTTGGGTCTAAAACTGCATGGTGTCTTCTGCAATAAGTACTGACCTCTGGGGAGCAGCCAAGGGCAATAGCAATAGGCTGTAATGTTTCTGGAGTCTCTTGCACAACCCTGACCTCAAAAGGTCTTCTCATGCTCAGTGCTGGTTTTTTGTTAGGCGGTCTTTGGGTCTTGGAGGAAGCATTGTCAGCGAGATGAGAAGATTTTATTTAGACTATATATGTATATTTATACACAGACGTATACGTATTATAGATTTTCTTAGGTAGATGATTTCTGTGGCTTTTCAGATATCTTCCCAGTTCTCTTACCCTATTCTCTGTACGTATCTCTCTCCTGCTCCCTAAATAGAGTCCCCACCTTCCCTGATCAGAACACTTGTATCCTACCGTTCCCCTCTCTATTGCTCCTCCACCCTCACAACCGTCCCTTTTGCTTCCCTGGTTTCTGTAGTTACTCCAGGAAACATACTCATACCTGAAAATTTTAAGCTAGGAACCTCAATTAAGAGCGAACATGTGACATTTTTCTTTCTGGGTCTGGGTCACCTCATTCGCTGACCTTTGCAGCAAATTGAGGGTTCCCTTTCCCCACACTTCCTCTCACATTTCTTGCCCGTTATTTTGTTGATCTTTGCCATTCTGACTGAGGTAAGATGGAGTTTCAAAGCTGTTTTGATTTGAATTTCTCTAATTACTAGTGATGATGAATATTTTTTAGATACCTCTTAACTTATTATTTTTCTTCTCAGAACTCTCTGTCCAGTTCCCAGGCCCATTTTTTGAATGAGCTATTTGAAGTTCTGTTGTTGTTTTGATTCTTTGTTTTGAATTCTTTAAAGCATTCTGGATATTCGTCCATTACTGTCAGATATACGCTGGCAATGATTCGCTCCCATTCTTCAGGCTCCTCTTTATCTGCTTGGTTGTTTCTTTAGCTGTGCATAAGCTTGCTAGTTTATGAGGTCCTGCTTGTCAATTGTTGGTCTTAATTCTTGGGAAAATCGAGCCCTGTTCAGAACGCGCTTTCCTAACCTTCCTCACGGAGGGCGCTGCTAGGGTTTTCTTCTAGCGGTTTCCAGCTTTCTGCTTAAGCCTTTGATTTGGAGCTAGTGTTTCTGTGGTAGATGTGGGTTTAGCATCATTTTTCTGCACGTGGACATCCGGTCTTCCCAGCAACATTGTTGACAATGCTTTGTTTTTCCGGTTTATGTCTTTGGCAGTTTTGTCAGTGGCTCAAGTTACGTGTCTTCATGTTTGCGTTTTCAATTTTGTTCCTTTGGTGTACTGTCGGGGTTCTTTTTGTGTGTGTGCTGTACCATGTTGTTTTTATTACCGTGGTTCTGTAATATATCTTAAGGGCTAGAATGGTAACCCCACCAGTACTGTTTCAGCACCGGATTGTTTGATTAGCTGTGGTTCATATGAGTTTTAGGATACTTTGTCCAGTTTCTGTGGAGAATGAGATGACGATTTTGATTGGGATGGCATTGAGCATGTAAATAGCCTTTAGTAAAATGGTCATTTTCACAACATTAAATCTACTGATCCAAGAGCATGGGGTGTCTTTTAGTATTCTAATGTCTTTCTCTGTCTCTCTCATTAAGTGTTTAAAATTTTTATTTTAGAGGCCGTCATTTTTGTAGTTAGGCTTTTTCCTGGATATTTTATTTTCTTTGAGGCTATTGTGAAGGGGAGTATGAATGCCTAATTTTTGACAAAAGTTTCAAAAACATGCACTGGAAAAAAAAGTCAGTCTTTTCGACAAAGTATACTGGCAAAATTGGATTTCTTCTGCCTTCAGAAGAATGAAATTAGGTCCATATTCTCATTCTACATAAAAGTCATTTTTTTCATAAAAGTCATTTAAAACTGGATTAAAGGCTTTAATTTAGGGCTGGAGAGATGGCTCAAAGGTTAAGAGCACTGACTGTTCTTCCAAAGGTCCTAAGTTCAATTTTCAGCAACCGCATGGTGGCTCATGGCTCTGTCATCTGTAATGAGATCTGGTGCCCTCTTCTGGCCTGTAGGTATACACACAGGTAGAACACTGAACACCATAAATAATAAATGAATACATCTCTTTTTTTAAATAAAAATCTTAATTTAAAACTGGAGATACTGAAACTGCTAAAGAAAGATATAGAAAAGCAGTTCAGGACATACAAATAGATATCACTTTCTGAATACAACCTTAATAGTGCCAGAAACAGTTGCAGCAATTTACAAATGAGATTACACAGAATTAAAAGCCTTCTGCACAGCGAAAGGAACTCTCAACAGAGTGAACAGACAGCCTGCAGGGTGGGAGGAAATCCATATAGCTATACTTCAGAAAGGGATTAATATCTAGAATATGTAAAACACGGCAGAAACTCCACTAAATACCCCGAAGTCAAGCAACCCGGTAAGTGGGCTAATGAAATGAAAACATATTTCTTAAAAGAGGACGTTCCTGGGATCAAAAAACACACATAGAATGGCAGTGGAGTTTTGGTGAGGACTGCATAAGCAGGGTGTTTTAAAACTGGACCAGCATTGCCAAGAACAGAAAACAGGCGTGTGGTGTCTAATCTCACCATGTGCCTTACTGGCAACATGGCAAGTACTTCTAGGGACCTGAGGGTGCTTATTCTTGAAAGAAAAATATAAATACAATGTAGAAAGATATCCTGTCACCCTAAAAGTTGGGTAATGAGAATTGAGAAAAAGGAATGTGAACTTGAGGTGTAAGATGTCCTAGAAGAACTTAGAGACATTGTGGAAGTTGAAGGCTAAAGAGGATAGCTCTCAGGGTAAAGGTCAGCAATGCAAAGGAATGCGAATTGTTTTAGGATATACTGACAAGAACATGGCAGATATGTCAAACAGAACATAAGGCTGGACAATAACAGAATGGTTTACTTCCAATATGACAAGCATTGGAGACAGAAAATGTCTGTCGGAACAAGAGAAGTACTTTGACCAGGAGAAGGAAGTGAAGCCCTTTACAGGATTCACCTGAAGAGAGATCACTCAGACTGCGCTCAGCGGAAGGCTTGTGTAAGAGGCTTTTGTTTAAAAAGACCTTGGGGAAACAGCCCTGAATGCAGAATAAAGGTACAGATAAAGCCGGGTCAGACAGACAAATGAGACAGACAGACAAATGAGAGGCAGACCCATTAAACACGGGAGGAGTAGTCATTAGCAGGGATGCTCGAACCAGAAGTGTTCTAGATTTTGAACTTTTTCAGATCTTGGAGTGTTTACAAGCAGCAAATGACTATTGTGGGGATGAGAGCCCTGACAAGAACGAATCTGGTGTCTTTAGCTGCCTTGTGTCCAGTCTGACTGTGAATTTAGACAGCATTCTGGTTTTCTCACATTATGGTTAAGCCTATCACATGAGGTCAGTCATGGAATTTTCTGCCTGTGTCACCATATCAACGTCCAAAAAGTTTTATATTCTGGATCTTTTCAGATATTTGATTTTTCCATTGGGGCTGCTCAGTCTGTATCCACATATGTACTAATTTCACTAACCTGAAGTGACAAACGAAATGATGTATGCGACTATAGGGGCTCTATTTGTAGGGTCACATATAGTGTAGGCTGGGGGGAGTGACACTAACAAAATCAAAAAGAAAGGATTGGAAAAAGGAAGCATGGGAGGTCTTAGAGTCTTGGAATTTGGAATCATTTGCAGGGATTTGTAGGCAAAGAGACCTGGGGAGGGTCATTAAGTACACAACATAGGTAATAGAGCTTCATGGAGTCATTTAATAGTGTTGAGCCACAGAACTGTCTACAGTGAAAGGTCACTGAGAGCTTAAATCCAGAGAGAACAGAACACTAATTTTTCTAACCAGGAGAGGTTTATGTTTATACATGAAGGGATCATTTATTAAAGCAGACTCTAAAAGGAAAATTAGAAAGAAAGACTACGCTCTGGCAGTCAGAAGAACTATAAGCCAGTGAGTGACTTTATTATAAGTTATAAGAGTTAACAAGAAGCCTGAGCTAATTGGGCCAATCAGTTTATATCTAATGTAGACTCTCTGTATGATTTTCTTTGGGACTAAAGGCTGTGGGAACTGGACAGGACAGAAACCCCAACAAGCAGGCCCTTATGTTACAGAATGGCATCCACAGTAGGGGAAGAAAGAGAAGAACATGGGAGAGAGATGGGGTAGCAGGGAGGAGAGCAGGAGAGAGAAGAAAAGAAAATTGATATGAAAACAATCTTTATGAAAAGAAACATCGTAGCCTGGCATGCTGGTCCAAACCTGTGACCCCAGCACTCAGAAGATAGAGGCAGAAAATGATGTCTTCATGGCCAGCACGGTTCTGTTTCCTCATTCATCAATTTTAATGCCTCTACTTTTTCTGTAGATTTCAGGTTTGCTAGATAGTGTGTAAACTTTTTAAAAGAAACACTTCAGTACAGATTTATTATTTACAGCATCCTATCTTCTTAAAAGAAGAAAATCATCAGGCAGGAGATTCAGAACAAAGAGCTGAAGGATGTTCACCAGAATCAGGAGGAAAACCATCACTCCAATTGTAAGGTTGCCTTTGAAGCACTTTAACCTAACTGAGAGTCCCCACATCTGCGAAACCTACAATGCTGCTTCCTCGGCTTGAGCCAGCCCATGTTTGTCACCATTTCGGTTGTGCTCTCTGTAGGCTGCCTACAGAAGTGTTTCCCTGGGAGTCATACAGGGGCCGGTACGAGTGTGGTCAAAGGGGACCAGGCTACATCTTGAGCTGGCAGCAAAACTCGGCAGCATCATCCATACAGTTCTGATTTTATGGACATGAGAAGTACAAGGGTGAGGCTTTTGCCAAGGTTCCAGAAGCTGGCTAAGGCCAGGATATGTGGGGCAGGATTGGATTCCTGGAATGAGGTTCTGAGGTCATTTCACTGCACGGAAGGTGAAGTTCCTCAATTGCAGGAGAGCTTCCAGGATGTTGGAGGTGCCAGGACTGCCAAGGATAGCTGTATGATTTAAATGGAGTCAGCCGATGGGACAGGCTCGATGTGCCTCAGGCAGCAGAGATGGACGGGGGAGGTTACCCACACCATTTGGATCCTGGGTGACTTCAGTCACAAACCTCAGATGACAATCCCAGCATCAGAGTTTGGTGTTCGCCCTCTGGGCTTCAGTCTGGCTTTGACCTGATCTTTCCTTGCAATGTCCTTATTCCCCTTTTGGAAAGGGAAAGTGTACTCCATGCCATTGCATGATGCTCATAGGTAACTTTCTATTTGATGTCATAGGGCACACAGTGGTTTACTCGAGTCTCTGAAGACCTCCGCGCTTACACTTTTGAACAATATTGGAACTGTTAAAGATGATGGGGATGTTTGGAGTTGGGTGAGTGTGTTTTTTGTCGCAAGGTTATAAAAATGAAAGCGGAAGGTTGGTGGCTTTAAAGTGGTGTATTTGTGTGTCAAATTGGCAAGGGGAGGACTTGTTGATGACAACTGACAAGATCTAGAATCATCTAACAATAAGCCGTTGGACAAATGTGTGAGGTAGTCTCTGGATTGCTTTGAGTTTAGAAGATCCACCCTAAGTGTGGATGACACAATTTTATGAGCTGGAGAGGAAAAAGGAGAAATGTCTGGGCACTCCTGTTGACAGAGGTTTCTGTCCTACCTGGTCCCACAGTCATCCAGTCCCAAAGAAACACACCGAGGTCTACATTAATTATAAACTGGTTGGGCTAGTAGCTCAGGCTTCTTATTAACTCATTCTTAAATCTTACATCTTAGCCCATAATTCTTGTCTGTGTTAGCCAGATGGCTTTATAACTTTTTCAGGAAGGGAGTCTCATCATGCTTCCTCTGTGTCTGGGTGATGACTGCAGACTGAACCTTTCCTCTTCACAGAATTCTCCTGTTCTCATTGCCCCACCTCTACTACCTGCCTGGTCACCCTCCCTATACTTCTTGCCTGGCTACTGGCCAACCACAATTGGCTCACCAATGTGGGGCTAATTATATCCACATAAGACCTGAGAAAGCTTGGAAGGGAATTTTAGACACTAAAAAACAAAGTTTAGCCACATTTTTTTTCCGAATGGGCTTAGCTTGCTGGAGACATGCTGCAGCTCCTTTAAGAGAGGTCGTACTGATTCAGTGGTAGCAGAAAAAACACTGCTCAGTTTTGAAACAGAATATTCCATTCAGGGCTTGACCACAATTCAAATTTTTCTTTAGGTCCCCATAAGATTATCAGTGCCCCCAATCAGCAGAACATAGCCTGAAAAACTATGCCCACATTCCCAAAAAATGAATTATGGATGTTTGCCTTTGTTTAGAATGTTGGTTACAAGTTGTTATGTATGAATAATGGTTAGGAAAAAAGGAGATTCGATTTAGAGTTCTTGTTTTGAAAAAAGGGGGGAGGAAGTACTGTGGGACATGGTCTGTTCCCTGTCACTTGTATTATTTTTAATAAAGCATAGATTGGCTAGTAGCCATGTGGCTAACACAGACAAGAATAATGGGTTAATGTAAGATGTAAGAATTATTTAATAAGAAGCCTGAGCTACTAGGCCAATCAGTTTATAATTAATGTAGACCTCTGTGTGTTTCTTTGGGACTGAACAACTGCAGGACCAGGCAGGACAGAAACCTCTGTCAACACACCCCCATTTCTCTCTCTTTGCTTCTGGACTACAGGTACCATGTGACCAGACTCCTGTCTCTGTGACGTCTCTGCTGTGAGGATGTAACCAACTGCTGCTCCAGAGGAGTCTGCAGCATCCGGAAAGTATAACTGTGAGCTTAAATAAACCATTTTTCCCTTAATGAGGCTAATCCCTTTAAGTAAATAGAAAGCAAAGCCACACAGTGCTATGCTAATTGCGTCCCCACTGGAAGTGTGCCTCTCCTCCCTTCTGATCTCAACAAACTCCAAGGAACTATTTTGTTCCCTCTTGAAATTCTGGTGGGTTAGGGGGCAGTGCCAAAAATTCTACAAAGACAATTAAGCAACAAAAACCTCTGTGTTTATGGGGAGTTAGGATGTTACAGATCCAGAGCCAAATCACCTTGGGCTGTCTTTAGTATTTTATACAGCCATTCATCATCCATCTCTGTGTTTGACCTAAAAATCAATCCTTGTAACTATTAGGTAAATTCTTTTGAAATACACAATATAGACCCCTCTCTTCTACCAGTCCAAAGGCTAATAATGCCATCAGGTAGTATCTGCATCCTATAAAAGAATTCCTTGATGTATAACTTTCTTTATTCTGTTACTATAAAAAAAATTCATGCAGAAATGGCTTTTTGGAGCCCATTCCCTATGGAGGGATACCTTGCTCAGCCTCAATGCAAAGGGGAGAGGCTTGATCCTGCCTCAACTTGATATGCCAGACTTTGTTGACTCCCCTTGGGAAATCTAATCCTTTCTGAGGAGTCTACGGGTGAGTTGGGTGGGTGGGGGAGATGGGGGAAGAGGAAGGAGAGAGAGAAAACTTCTAACCAACAACCAAAAAATTCATTCCTGTGTTACCAGGTTGGAAGAAGGTATTAAGAGAAGCCAGATTCTGTTTTCCCAGGCTGTGGTTACTCCTATTTGGCTCCAGAATAAATTCTTATTCTCTTCAAGGTGAGAACTGTATTTTGCATCCATAGTGTGTTCAATTTGCTGGTGTGATTAAACAGATTTAAGTGTGATGCTGAAGATCTGTTGCTAAGGAACATTAAGTTCATTCCCCACTCTGGCTCTGTGTGTAAGAGAGCAATTAGAGTAGAGAAAAGAAGTGAAGAATTATTCACCAGAGAAGGGGTACATATTAAAAGGATCCTGCAGGGAAACCTACTTCAGCTGGGGAATGTATCGACTGGAATCCTCAGAAGTAGGAGACAGCTAGTGTTCTGGTTTAAGTGTAAGTCCCACAATGTTGCATGTTGGAACACTTGGTCCCCAGCTGATGTTCTGTTTGGGAAGGTTGTGGAGCCTTTACAAGGTGGAGTCTCTCTTAAAGAAGTGGTTCACTGGGGGAAGACTTAAGGTTTTGTAGTCAAGCCTCCATTCCAATTTATTTTCTGCAGCCTGTATGTGGATATAATGTGGCCAGCCAATGTCCTGCCCATACGACCATGCCTTCCCTGCTTGCTGTACTATGATGGACCCTATCCCTGTAGGCCTGTTAACCAAAATTAACCCTTTCTACCTTAAAAGGCTGTCTTAGGGTTTCTGTTACTATAATAAAATACATGAATAAAAGCAACTTGGAGAGGAAAGGGTTTATTTTAGCTAACAGCTCTCAGGCCATGATCCATCACCAACGGAGGTCAGAGTAGGAACTCTAGGTAGGCACTGAAGCAGAGGTCAGAGTAGAAACTCCTGGCAGCACCAATTGCTTCAAGAGGAACATAGGCATTGAAGAGACTCCTTATGGAGTTTACTAGCCATTTGGGTAAGAGACTGCTCTTGTCTGTACTGCTTGATATTATGCTATATGAACTAGACATGCAGGACCCACAGAGAAATGACTGCTGAACTTGCCTAAAGGTGAAATGATCCTTCGGGGTTCTTGCTTCACAAAAGAGTCTGCCAGACATGCTGCAGGACACAGAAAAAAGTGACTGACATATTGCCATTACAAGGAAGAACAGATCTTCAAATTTCCTGCTTCATGGAAAAGTCTGCTGGATACTATGGGCCTGTAGGCTGAAGATGGATGCTCCAACGATACGAAGAACTTTGGGTGACTGTCCAGACAGTAAGATGTCTCTGTCAATTCTAGAGTTTTGGAAGTTGCTTACAATACAATTTTATCCTACTGCGGTCTTTGATGGAGTTGAAGAATAGATAGCTATAGTTATAGTTTTCCTTAGTTATAATAGAAGATAAAGTAGCTATAAATATTATAACTGTAATTCTTGCCTGATACCTGTTTTTTTATATGTAATTTTACTATGTTAAAGTTAAAACCTTCCTTTTCATTTAGACAGCATAGTGTTGACTGGTCCTGCCAACAATGCTGGCTCTTTTAGTCAGCATGAAGTACCACCTTCTGGTACTGAAACACACCTCATAAGAAGTCTGAGAAAGTCTGTGTGTAATCTGTCATCAAAGCCTACAAATGGGTAAACATTATCTGGGAATTATTGATGGACAGTATGGGTCAATCTCAGAAACGCCGTGCAGAGTGAAAGAGAGGAGACATGCAAGATCTTGGGTGAAAGGCTTAAATGGAGATCAGTAGAAACAAACCTGTAAGAGAACCAGGGAGGGGAGTCAATGGTTGCCTAGGGTAGCAGGCTCTAGGGTACTGACTGCAAAAAGGCAAGAAAGGCTTTTGTGTTGCAATGGAAATATCAAAACTCATGAAATTATGTATTAAAGTAGGCAAATTTTATGTGTCTAAAGTATGGTTCAGTAAAACTTAAATTTTACTCTTTTATTAAATTTCCTTGAAGAAATGTTGTCTTTAAATTTTGCACTTAACAAACCCAGATTGTCTATTTTAATAAAGAAGAGTGCCTTTATGAAAGATAATTTATAATTAGAGGATTTCAATGGTAGGTCTGAGAACAATTTAGAATAAGAAATCAGGTGAGAAATCAAGACCAAATTCTAATGGCACACAAATAACTATAACTTTCTGCTGCCCCCTAGCGGCAGCAACTCAAAATTTCAGCACATTCGTTCATTTCTCAAGGGACCAGCTTTAGGAGACTGCTTTTGGTAGACCATATGTTGGCAAGGACCGTGTCTTCTGCATGCCATGCCCTAGTCAGAGAGCAGGAGACGGTGCTGTACAAGGCAGACCAAGCTCTTGCCTTCGTCATGCTCACCTCCTAGTCGCAGACAGTCAAAACAGAAGCATTGTCCCTTATAGTAAGAAATTAATGAACTAAACAATTGATACTTTGCTTGAGGTTATAGACGTTAATGAAGAAATAAGGAGACCAGATAAGGAAAGATAGGTACAACATCAGAAGATCATTCCAGATAAAGTTGGCAAGTCGAACACCCGTGAGATGGAATAGAAATGCTGAGTGGGGGGACTCGTGACAAGCAGGGTTGGGAGGAGTAATGAGAGTGATCATTGTGGGAATTCAAGGATTCTGGTGAGGAGTCTGTTCTAATTCAGGAGAAAGTCACAGAAGAAGTCACTGTCTCAGTTTATGCTCTAAAATGGACTTCCTGGGGCCAGTGACATGGTTCCCTGATAGGTAAGGCACTTTACCTCACTACCTGAATTTGATCCCCCAGAACACAAGATGGGAAGAAAGAGCTGACTCCCATAAATTGTCCTCTGACCTCCACATGTGTTCTCTGGCAATGCATGCCTGCTCATAGTCTCTCTCTCTCTCTCTCTCTCTCTCTCTCTCTCTCTCTCTCACACACACACACACACACACACACACACACTCATGTAAAATCTAATAAAAGCCAAACATTCATTGAAAGAATCTACATTTTATTTTCTCAAACGTCTGTGAAGTTACTCAGACCCTAAATCTAGGAAGGCTTTGTGTTTTACAATGGATCTTCTGTCTACACAGATGCACAGCTAAACAAACACAACAAAGTATTTATAGCTTTGTTTGTTCAGTTAAATTAGCGGAAAGCATTGTTGACTCCATTTCTTGATGCTTCTTGTCTGTATTGACTTTTGTCACTTCTTCTTCAGCTCCTTCATCATTTCCTCCTTCCTGTCTCCTTCAGTATCTCATCTAAAACATTCCCCAAATAACTATTGTAAAAGCTGGAGAGACATGATGACCCTCTATTGGAAAGAAACGAATCTTTCAGACTCATTCTCAGCCCATTCTTGCAGCACCCACAGATGTATGAGCATGCCTTGGTGCTTAGGCATGCAGAACAAATATTGCATTTCATAAGCTTCCCCAATTTATTATCCATAATAGTATCATTTCTGCAGTTCAGTGATGTTTGGGGAATGGCTAAGCCATTGTCCCCAGCAAGCCAATGCACAGAAATGGGCAATTGAGTCAGCTTTGATTCATCTCAGAAGAGAAGTTTATAAATGCTGCTTGTATGTTTTCATACAAGGCTATCAAGTTAACTTTACCTTAGCAAAGGCTATCTCCTTGGCCCAGTAGATTTCCCTACCTGGAATGCTTTGAGTTTGTGTGCACCCATCCTATTGTAGTGGTATTTTGTTTGTAGTCTAACAAATAAAACTTGCCTGGAGATCAGAGTGCAGAGCTAAGCTACTAGGTAGGCGCAGAGGCCAAGCAGTGGTGGCACACACCTTTAATCCCAACACTCAGGAGACAGGGGCAGATGAATCTCTGTGAGTTCAAGACTGACATGGTCTACACAAGATTGAAGATTTCTAAAAGAGAAACGGCTCACACAAAGGTGATCCCAGCACTTGGGATCATGCTCCTTTAATTCCAGCACTAGCAAGGTGGGAACAGGAGATGTGGATGGGCAGAGAGAGGAAGGAAGGTGGGAAGACACAAGAGCTCAGATGCAGTCTGAGGTTCCCTCAGCAGTCTGAGGGTTTGTAAGGGACAGGATGGCCCCTTTGGTTTGAGCATTGGTAGAGGTAAGAGCTCTCTAGTGGTGGCTACTCTACCTCTCTGATTCTTCAGCTCTCCCCCACTAATATCTGACTCCAGGTTTTTATTGTTAAGGCCAGTTAGAATTTGTGCTACATCCTATGAGACGTGGCTCAGTTTCACACCTTCTATGCAGTGTCCCTCCATCAGTCCCCTTTGGTATGGAAGCTCTTTCTTTAAACATCCAAGCACCGCCGACTGGCATCATTTGCTATCAGTGGCATCTGTTGAGCAGAGTCGTCACATGATGGAGCTTAGGAGTCTCTACTAACCCTGTAGAGGTGAGGCTGTGGCCCTTCACAGGGTACATTTTCAGAATATTGCCGAGATGATCCGTAGAGTAGTCTGTCTGCTTTGGGGGCTCCACTTGCTCTTGTGATGGGGCCATGGAACATGAGACTGAGAAATAAGAAAAGAAAATGAATCCTAAACCAAGAAGACAGGTGAGAATCAAGTTGGGGTGGAAGGGGAAAACACTTGAAGAGGCAGTCCCCGGGTGTGGGGCTCTAACTCCTCTCATGGCGCGGTTCTGCTCCTCTTCCGTCCCCTCTCCCTGATGGTCCTCCAGCCAGTCCTGGACATCTCCTCTAGAAATGCAGTCTTAAGAATGCATCCCTAGTGACCAGCCTGGTGACGTCATTCTGTCCACCTTCCTAGGTACAACATGGTGTGGTAGGGTGGAGTCAGGCTCCGTGACATCGCTCTCTGTCCATCGTCTTATTGAGCTCAGGCTTGGGCCTCACTCACAATGGTTTTTCTTGGCACTGATGGCTCTCCCGGATTTTCAACCTCCCGGAGTGGCTCCAGATCATCATCTTCATGAGCAATGACGACTGTGAACCGGGACCAAATGTCTTGTCACTCTGTTGTCAGGCTTTTTGAAACCAGAGGATAGGCCTGATTCACGATGCAGGACAGTCTCTGACTGTTGCGTGGGTCATGTCTTGCCCAAAGCATGCTAAGGACCTCTAGGGGGCGATATTGTCCCATGGCACATGTTTCTCTGCATGTATTTCAAGGCTTGGCTCTAAACTTGCCAAACCATAAGGCATTTGTAGTTTCCAAATAATTGACACAGTACTAACTTGTTTAAAAGGTAAAAGAAACAGGGAGGGATGGCATGAAAATACTCAAGGAAGTGATTACCATAAAATGTGAAAATGGCCTCTGTTTAGTGTGATCTTTAGACCATTCTTCTCTCCCCACTTTTTAAAACTGTAAATAGATTCTTTTCCTATACGTTATATCCTGATTGTAGGTTCCCTTCCCTCGACTCTCAACTACTCCCCACCTCTCATCCCCTCCAGATCCACTCCCTTTCTGTCTCTCATCAGAAAAGAACAGACTTCTAACAAGTAACAACCAACATGACAAAATAAAAGATAGTAATAAAGTAAAAACCAGCATCTTGAAGTTGGATGCAACAACCCAATAGGAGGAAAAGAATCCCAAGAACTGGACTCACACTCAGAGGTTCCATAAAAATACTAAGCTAAAAGCTATGATATCCATGCAGAGGGCCTGGTCCAGAGCCACATAGGCCCTGTGTTTGCTGCATCCATCTCTGTGAGGTCATAGATACCTTGTTTAGCTGATTTGGAGGGCCTTGCTCTCCTGGTGTCCTTTTCCTCTGGTTCTTATGTTCTTTTTCTGTCTCCTCTTCTTCAGGTTTTGCTGAGCTCTGAGGAGGGGGGGATTTGATAGAAAACTCACATTTAGACTCTGAGTAATGGCTGTAGTTGAATGTTCTTGTACCACCAACCCCCAAATACTGACACAGAGACTTATCATTAATTTTGAAAGCTGGGCCTTTAGCTTGTGCTTGCTTCCAACTAGCTCTTATAACAAATTAACCTGCTCTTGTTAATCTACATTCTGCCACGTGGCTCATTACCTCTCTTTCATAATGTATGTCTGCCTCTCTCTGTATCTCTCTGGTGTCTCCCTCACATGCCTAGATTCATCTGAGTTCCTCTCTTTCCCTGGAAATCCTGCCCACTCTCTCCTGCACAGCTATTGCCTGTTCCGTTCTTTGTTAAACCAATCACAAGGACACATCTTCACATGGTGTAAACAAGTATCCTGCAACAAATGTCTGGCTGTGGGTCTCTGAATCCGTTCCCATCTGCTGATGGAGGAAGTTTCTCTGATGAGGACTGAATGAGACAGTGATCTATGAGCATAGCAAAATATTAATAGGAGTAATTTTATTGATTGTTTTCCTTTTTAGACCAGTAATATTTGGTTTTACTCTAGATCTTTGGGCTATCTAGTTCCTGGTTTTTGGTTGTCTAAAAATCTGGTTTTGGTTGTTAGGTGTGGGCTCTACTTCACGGAGTGGCCTTCAGTCGAATCAGATATTGGTCGACTACAACCATGAGTGCCGTGCCACCATTGCCCTGGCATTTTTCCAAGTAGGACAGATTGTAGGTCAAAGGTTTTGTGGATGGGTTGGTGTTTATGTTTTTCTTCTGGCAGCCTGCTGAGTACCTTTCTACACTAAAGAGACTAGGACACAGGGGTGAAGGCTCCATGTAGGCACCAGCTCAACTTCTCCACGGTCAGTGAGTTGTGGGGGTGTTGTTCTCAGCCATGGAGTCCAGCTGTCAGTTTGCAGAGAGCAACCTATTGTTTTAACAGCAGCCTGGGTTGTTTGGGACCCCCTTGTCCAACAATTCAATTGAATGCAACCCAGTTTGGCTCCTGGAAGCCCATTTGGTGACAAGAGATGGCCGGTTGAGACACTAAATTCCCTTTATTAGGAGACCTCATTAGGATCCCCTTCATATATTTTAGAAAGCTTTCACTGCGCTAGGTTTCCACACCATCCAGCAAA